AACAGCTTACTCCAAAGTGGAACAAACCAGTTTTGTTTGTGATAAGATGGTCTCTTTGGTACGCCCCCTTCTCTGTTGCCGGCCCTCTTCCTTGTTGACAGTCGTGTCAAACGGGTTGAAAACGAGTTGTTCCACTTTGGAGGAAGCTGTTGGGGGAAGAATCAGTTTTGTTGTGTGTTTCCTTGACTGATGAAGCCTTCCGGATCGAAGGTGAAACGTTTCAGCACAAAAAAAAGAAACTGATCAGTCAGTCAGATGAGCTGACTGAAAAATGTTTGAATGTCGTGTTGTGTTTCTATAAGCCATGGTTGTCTTTGTGCCACTCTTCATTAAACTCAGTTCGGTGCAACGTATAGTGGTTTTGTGGACACGTCCTCCCAAACTGCATAAGAGCTGTCCAATACGACAAGGTTATTTTTGACCTCTTAGTTGTTCCTCTGAATAATGTCCTCCTTGTTCAGTTGGTGAGTTGTGGTAGACAATGTTCTCTTGGCAGGTTTGTGCTGGTGATATAATCATTCCATTTTCTAATAATATATTTATTGGAGTTCTCTGAGACATTTTTTATATTCCAGTCTTGAGATTTGCTTCTCCACAACTTTATCTCTGACCTGTGTGGAGAGCTCATTTGTCTTCATGCTGTTTTGGTAGCTTTTACTACTAAACAGAGGCTGGTCCAGCCTAAGGACAGAACCCCCAATCACAAACTGCAGTGTGGTGTCTGCAGTTGTGGGGGCTGATAAGAGCGTCTGGCCAGCTGCTTCCACGCCGGTGACACTAAGGCATAATAACAACGTACCATTCAGATCACAATGACAGTAAAGTACAGGAAAAGGTTACAATAGTGATATTAATCTATTATTGATATAGTAAAATAATGGAGCATGGTGCATGCATATATACACACACACCCTACACAGTTTAGTGCTGTGGGGACTGTTCAGACCTCTCCTTTGGAGAAACTAAACAACCAAACCACACATGGCTCAACACAGGAGAGCAGCTCTTCAGAACAAGACTCAGATGTCCACCTACACCTCAAGGATAAACGAGACTCATTTGAGGACCAAAATGTTCATATTTAGGACTGAGGAGACAAATGGTCTGGGGCGGGGGAGAAGCCATTTTACATCAAACAAGAAAAAAATCGACTTTAAATATAGGATGGTTCAGATTTCAGTTGTTTTTAACCTGCAATGAAACATTCAGCCTGATACCTGGTCAGTTTCACTCTTCCTGCAGTGTTTCCCCTACCGTTATACAAGCAGGGCGCCCCGCCCTGTCTAGTGAACCGAACGCCCTGCCTACCGAACTGCCCAGTCGACAACTGATGTAGCACTAAGCTAGTGGCGGGCAATACAAAAGCACCAGCTAAAAATTACAGAGGTAGCACTCCATTTCCCTCATGCTGAGCCGGGACTCGCTAGAAAACTGTCGGTACAAACTGCATGCAACACAGACATGTCTGTCTCCCCCCAACCCCACCCCATTCATTTGCGTCATAAAATGATTTACTGTACTTTCCGCCGTACACGTCGCACTGCTGCATAAGTTGCATCAGTCCAAATATGTCTAATAAAGTGGAAAAAAACATAAATATGTCGCTTCGCCATCTAAGTCGCATCTATTATGTGTCACCGCTGATGTGTCGTATTTGTTACGCGTCACCGCTGACAACCCGGAAATGTGGGGCTGTTGCGCCAACAAAAAATCGACTGGCTGCCAAATGGTGGGAGCATTCACGGGAGGACTTTAACAAGAATTTAACAAGCTTTACACTTAAAAACAATTATTTGTTTGCTCGAAATTATATTAAAGGTGTGTCTCAGTTGAACTTTTCCTTAATAAATGCACTTTTACGGTCATATCAGCTGTATTTCAAAAGCCAATAGGCGGAAGTAAGAGTACGCAGAGGGACAACTCGCTGTGCATTTTTTTTTTTTTTAATTTAACAAGATAACTGCCTAAAAACAATTGTTTGCTCGACATGGCAAAGGTGTGTCTCAGTCTCACTTTTCCTTAATAAATGCACTTTAATGGTCAGATTTGATGTTTGCTCCAGGAGTTGCGAAACGAGACAAAGGTGTCTTGATATGGCAAGCCAAGTGTCTCATTAATAGCCACTTTTACCTTTTAATGAGTCATTTGATTTGCTATATTAGTCAAGGGCCCTCCAGTGGCTGAAAATGCTAGTATTCAATATTTTCCGTGTCAGAATGAATGAAATCGTCAGATCTCAGACAAAAATTTGTTATAAATATGGGGAAAAACATAAATACATTGCTTCAGTGTATAAGTCGCAGGCATGCTAATTTATGCAAAAACTGCGACTTATACGCCGGAAAATACGGTATTTAAGACAGAAGACAACTAATGGTGTGTGATGTTTCTGTTTTTCCTGATGTCTTTGATTGTAATCAAGGATTCTGTTTTTGATATTTACAGAATAATCCATTCATAGAAGGTCTTGCATTGTTTTAGTGAACTAAAATCTAGGCTGTTGTTCATTTTTCTTTAGTCTAATAATTACGTTTGTGGGGTTATGTACATGTTTTACTCCAACTGAAGGTCAGGGAACATTGGGGATTTAAAATGTAACACTTATGTTTTAATCCTTTTTCAGGAACAGAGGAGAGCGGAGGATGAGCGCGTTTGAGTGCGTGCATCGAGTATATAAAGCAGACGGCCTGCGGGGCTTCTACAGGGGAATGTCGGCGTCCTACGCCGGCATCTCAGAGACTGTGATCCACTTTGTTATCTATGAAAACATTAAGAGGCGCCTCTTGGAAGCAAAGGCACCGCAGAACATGGACGATGAAGAGGATGCGTCAAAAGATGCTTCAGACTTTGTTGGAATGATGCTTGCTGCCGCAACGTCCAAGACCTGCGCAACAACTATTGCTTATCCTCATGGTGAGAACTTTCTCAGTTTGAGTCGTCCAAAAAGTTTCTTGGAGAGAATTTCTCATTCGTTTCTTATTCTTTAATTTGCAGAGGTAATTCGCACCAGGCTACGAGAAGAAGGCACCAAATACCGCTCTTTTTTCCAGACTCTGACAACAGTGCCCAAAGAAGAGGGCTACCGCGCCCTGTACCGGGGTCTCACCACACATCTGGTCCGCCAGATCCCCAACACTGCTATCATGATGTGCACCTACGAGCTGGTGGTCTACCTCTTGAACGGTTAAAGTCTTCCTACAACTTGGGCAGTTAGGATAACCCTGCCCACGTTGAGAGATCAAGAAAAGAAAACTGGATCTCCTGTACACCAGCTAGCACAGCTAACAATCTGTGTTTGTCAGAAAAGAACAGGGACAGCACCAAAACCTTACATTGGGGACAAAAGTGGTTGTTAAAAAATTTAAACCTTTGAGCTTTGTTTATTAACCAAAACATGGAAACGTTGGTATCTGAGTTCAGCTTTGGCAAAGCAGCAGTCCCCTTGTTTAATCTGTTTTATCCATTTTCCCCGTATGGTTATGTCACATTCAGAGAACCTGGCCTGCAGAACATTCTGACATAACTCGAATTAAAAGTGAATAAAACTTATCAGTACCTGTGACCCACACAGTTCGTAGCATTTTAGTTCGGAGTACCAGTTTACGAGCAGCACTAATCCCTGCGTCCTTCAAGAAAACCAGACGGTCAGAAGCTGCAGAGCAACACAAATGTTGTGACGTCAGCAAAAACTGGGAGACCTGAGGGTTGAAGAGGCAGGATGGACAGAAACGTGGGTTAGATTAGGAGGAGGAGGCTAACAGCTAATGTGCCTTGTGTGAAAATGTAATAGACCAAGAGGCAGAGCAACCAGGAGCTGCAGGGTTCTGTCCCACCTTCCAGTAGGAGTGGCGTAAATGACGAGACGCACAAGTTTTTATCAACCAGGTGCACTCTGCGAAAGGTTTTCAACATCTCGTTGAATACAAGAGTGTGTTTCTACAAAGTATTTATATATATATATATGATTTAAATCTGCTTGCTTCTGATAACTGAGGTGTGTTATGACTTCGACCTCTGAATTGGTGTGTTTGTGTTAACCATATGTGGGAAAGAAAATGTCAAACTAAAGCCCATTAACTTCTAAAATGTACATAATCGGAGAGAGAAACCTTTGTGACAGAAAGAGTATAACGTGAAGTAGAAGTTAATATAAATAACTAATTTTAATAAATTGTAATTAAAATATAGATATGTACTTATATGCATATAATCTACAAATTGTGAATGTGTTGCTGTTAATAACTTGATTTTTGGAAGAAAAAAAAATTTGAGTGCATTTTCTCCACAGGAGAGCAGACTTATGTCAAAATGTTCACGTTCCAGTAGCTCTTTTCACCTGAACCGTCATCTCATCTTGGTGTCCTCTCCTCCTTGTAGCGAAGCCAGGCTGGTCTTCCAGGCGAGGACAATCCCTCTTGAGTTTACGCCTCAAAACTTGTAGTTTAGTGAGCGTGTTGGGGTAAAGTGGCCATGAACATGCTCGTTATAAACGCACAGTCAATAAACGCACACGGGTGTGTTGTTTTTGTGATCAGTCGAACGCTGAGCATTTCATGAGCTTAAATCAACCCGGCTGTTAATTGCATTTTATTAAAGGTTGAAGTCCGGTGTTTTCTGTACACGAATGTGTTTTGAATGAATGAACTTCTTGCCCCCGCTCCTTAAAATATTTGTTTATTTTAATTCTTTCTAAGAGCACACATAGCCGAAGCTGTTAATGTGACTTAATTTAAAGCCCCAGATTTCCCAGGGTACCACACGACAAATTGTACGTTTCCCTCCCGATGTGCAGTGTTTTAGTGTACTTAGTACAGTATAATGTTAGTGTACTTAGTACAATATAATGTTAGTGTACTTAGTACAGTATAATGCTGTGCCCTGCAGGGAAGGGCTGTTTTTTCTTTACCGAAACCCTTTCCTTGTTTACAGCCTGTGGCTCCTGCGATCATTAGTTTTACCAATCAAAGGATGCGTTGGATCATCCACCTTGGTAAAGTACACATTATACGTATCTGAAACTCGGTGCTGGCCACAACCAAGGTTTTCAGAACTAAACCGATGGTTAAAACATCGGTTTAATCGAGTCAACTTGAATTGCAACAAACTGGTGCTGTGTTAAATTCACCTGTATCAGTGTGTTTGATTCCTTCTCACACTCAGTCCTGTTGTTTCACCCACACTGACCCTGTGTGACAGCGTGTACGCCTGTAAGTGTTTTCTTGTGAGGTTACATAACAGTTGTATCTCGTTCGATTGTTTTATGTGTAGGAGACCATAGGAATATGTTTGGCCTCGACTAAATACCGGCAAACAGTGTTCGATCTTTTTTTTTTTAGCATATTGTTGCCTTCTCCTTGTGTCCTCCATGTTCTCGTGTCAGAGCCGACGGTTGGTTTGGCTCGCTCTATGCATTCTTGTACCGTTGTTTTTGTAAAAGAAAATGTCTATTAAATGGAAGGAGGGTACGTTGACTCCTTTTGTCTTTTGTACTTTATGATCCAGTTTAAATGCAACTTGTTTCATCAAGTGTTACTTTATTTGATTTTGTGGAATTTCTCTTATCACAGTCAAAAATTCAGTTTATTTCTATAGCACCATGCCACAACAGAAGTCATCTCAAGGCACCGAACAGAAACATTCATATACATAAAAAGTAAGTTAACACTATCGGAGAACAATGCTTTGAATCTGCCTTCATCACAGACCCATCTTGAACAAGAATGAAGGCGACAGTGGAAAGGAAAAATCTCCCTCACGAGAAAGAAACCTTTAGCAGGATCAGGACAAGCGGTCATCTGCTTCGACCGGCTGGGTTTGTTAGGAACAGATACACAATGGCAGGTCAAGAATCACATGTTGAGATAGAAATCGTATCACATGAAAACTATTCATTTGATGAAATGAGGTCACTTTGTTCTTCAGTAGTCTAAGCCTATAGCAACATGACAAGCCAACCCTAACTATAGGATTTATCAAAAAGGAAAGTCTTAAACCCAGTCTTAAAACTGGTCAGTCTCACGGACAGAAACTGGAAGTTGGTTCAACAAGAGAGGAGCCTGATAAATGAAAGATCTTCCTCCCATTCTGCTTTTGGAAACTAGGAACCACAAATAAACCTTCAGTCTGAGAGTGAAGTGCTCTTTTAGGAAAATATGGAACAATAAGTTAAGCTGCTGCTTATCTTACCCATCTACTCACTACAGACTCATGTTCAGACTGCTGTTTAATATTCCGTATTATTTTACATTATTAGTGTTTAGTGTGTATCTTAGATACTTGTTTACAGTTTCTTTTTATACTTTATATTTTTACTATTTTGGGGTGTAACAGGGACCTTGAGTACACAATTTCATGCCACCTCATGCTCCACATTTGATGCAAATGACGATAATGAACCTTGAACTTCATCTTGTAATATAAGATGGCGCTTGGTTGTTGAGATGTTTGTGCATCTGATTATAGGATGCCACCTGAACCCCTTTCTTTGGAGGTTTTCTGGGCACATTTCTGAACAAGAGGACCCGGGGCAGAGCCAGAACTCACTGGAGGGATTTTGTGTGTCTTTGGCCTGGGAACACCTCACGTCCCCCAGAAGGAGCTGTGAAGATTTCTGCTTTTTTTTCCTCCTGGCTCTGTGGCCTCCACAACCTGACTATTGATATGTGGTAGATGGAGAGATGGTGTTTGTCATCTTATCACAGTCAAAAAAAAATTAAAGATTAAATAGAAGGACGGTGAACGGAGGTCTAGTGTTTATGACAATAATTTCTTGTAGAAAAACACGGGAGGATGATCCCTTTTTATCAGCCACCAACAAAAGCAGACAATGTATTTCCTCTAGACTGTGTTGATTACCAAAATATCCAACTGATACATTTTGGGGGTCAACCCTATTCAAGATGGCTGCCTCTGCCGACAGACCTTAAAAAATGTCTCAGTCAATTCTACAAATATTGACCTAAAATTTGCTGTGGCAGCTGATACTGATCTCCAACCGTTATGAACCAGTAAACCGATTTAAAGGAAAACTTTCAGGAAATAATTATGGAACGTACCTCTACAACCGTTTGACATTTGGAGCCAGGCCAATTCAAGATGGCCGCCTAAACCAATGGACTTTAAAACAACAATTAAAAAAAGGCCATCGTTTAGTCAAATTCACAGATATTGTGGTTATAGATGAGGGTCATTCACAACACGCTCCATCTGCTTGAAATATTAGTATGAACTGTTGGAGTCAACCCTGTTTGTCTGTTAGCAAAATATCTTATGAATTACTGAATGAATTTAAATGAATCACGTTCTTGTGGCTGTACATTAAGAGTCAATTTTAATCTGTTTGCTACAGCTATTTAGCATTAACCAACACGAAGATGGCTAAACCTCAGTCTATTAACAGATGTTGTGATTAAATCTAGTGAGGTGGTAGCTGAGAGTGATCCACGTTCTCTGAATGATGGTCCAGAAGGGCCACAGCTCCATCACTGCATCACAAAATAATTTCAGTCTAAAACCTGCACAAAAAGGAGGTATATGCAAGAAATGCTGAAACTTTAATGTTTGAGTTAATAAAATTTGTGTCTGAAACCTCGTTAACGTTTTAACTCTGGAAAATAAAAATGTCTGAGAATAATATTGTGAGTAAACTATTTTTATGTGATGGGAAAGTCTTTCACCCTCCAGCTTAGAGTTTGTCCAGCATGTATTCAAGCAGCTTTGGAGTTTAACTATGGTACTTGTTTAAATCATGTAGTGCTTTGGTTGGATGAAACTAAATTCACTTGACTGAGGTTTGAACCATCCATCCATCCATCCATCCAACCATCCATCCAACCATCCATCCATCCATCCATCCATCCAACCATCATCATCAGCTTGTTCTGAAGTCGCGTTGCGGGGGCAGCAGCTTGAGCAGGGAGGCTTAGACATCTCTTTCCACAGCCTCCTCTTCCAGCTCTTCTGGGAGGACTCCAAGGCGTTCCAAGGCCAACCAAGAGACATAGTCTCTCCAGCGTGTCCTGGGTCTTCCCCGGGATCTACTCCCAGTTGAACATAACCGAAGCACCTCCCTAGGGAGGTGCTCAGGCAGCATTCATATCAAATGCCCGAACCACTTCAACTGGCTCCTCTCGAGGAGGAGCAGTGGTTCTACTCCGAGTCTCTCCCAGATAACTAAACTTCTCACCCTGTCTGTAAGGGAGAGTCCAGCTACCCTGCAGAGGAAACTCATTTCAACCACCTGTATCCGCAATCTCATTCTTTTGGTCAGAGTTTGTGACCATAGGTGAGGGTAGGAACGTAGACCAACTGGTAAACAGAGAGCTTTGCCTTACAGCTCAGCTCCCTCTTCACCACAACAGACCGGCACAGAGTCCACTATACTGCAGACACTGCACCAATCCATCTGTCAATCTCGCGCTCCATTCGTCCCTCACTTGTGACCAAAACCCCAAGATATTTGAAGTCCTCCACTTGAGGCAGAACCTCACTCTCCACCTGAAGAGAGCAATCCACCCGTTTCTTTTTTTTTTTTTTTT